TCATAAATGTGAAAAGGTGGTGTGAAGGAAATGTTTAAGGGGAATCAATCCATTTCTGTAAATAAAATTGTAATTTCAAACTTTTAACCTGTGTATTAAAACACTCTTATTTATTTTATTGATTTATTTTGAATACAAATTTAGAACACAAATACTAATAGCTTACAACACAGCCTTTAAAGAATATATATATACCTGTTTTAAGGTTTACATATCCACAATGAGTTTATATCGCACACTGGAACCATTTCAGTCGATGACATCATCACTACTAATGCGTTGCATTGGGAAAAATGTCAGCCGTCAAATTGACGGCCAGTGGGAGCTCTTGTATCTGAATTTTGGGAGTCCTAGTGTTAATAACATCTTGGAAAATATTGATATTGTTGTTTTTATCAACAAATTAATTATTCCGATCTGAACCACTTCTGTTTAGATAGTGTTTTAAATTTGGATAAATATCAAAAAGCAGGACAGCAGAATGATCTTCCCACCATAATAACTGCCTCTAACCTTTCCTGTATGTCTGATTATATAAACTGGTTATTGTCCTTTTCTTAATATCGTGTTCTTTTCCTGAACTCTCCAGCTGCTTCAGCAGTTGAAGCGGCTTATTTGTGATCTGTGTCGGCTTTACAATCTGCCACAACATCCTGATGTGGAAATGCTGGACCAGCCTCTACCCGCTTGCCCCATCACACAAGAGCGTAAGGTAGGCCCAGAAACCCAGAGCTCTGTGCCTGCTTTCCTCCACATAATAAAGACGCTATTTGTTAACTTATGTTGTTTAACTCTACAACAGCATGGGCCAACAGATGAGGTGACCTCTGAAGAGGAAGAGGAGGAGGAAATGGGAGAGGTTTCTGACTGTTTTATCAAATTCTGCTTTTGAAATGCTTATTTACTGAGGCTGATTTCCTAACTTGCTTTTAATGTGTCGCAGCAGGACATAGATCTGGACCAAGACCAGGACCTCTATGACATGAAAGAAGAGGAGCCCCCAGAGGGAAAGAAATCTGAAGATGATGGAATAGAAAAAGAAAATCTTGCCATCTTGGAGAAAATACGTAAAAACCAGAGACAAGATCACTTGAATGTGAGTCCCTCTTAGGCAACGTTCCCACCCCAGCCTGAAATGACCCAAATCCGATTTTTTTTTTTTTGCCCCATATGCGAC